CAAAAGTACTAGAGAGATATTTTCCACGCTTGAGCGGCGTTTCCTACACTCGAGCAAGTGGGCGCTCAAGCGGTTTGTCTGTTGTCAACAATAGTACTGGAGGTGTGTATTCTGCGCTCGAGGGGAACAACTTGTTGTGTCTGACGCTCGAGCGTCAACTATTGCGCTTGAGCGGACTGTGCATATATCAGATCGCAAACATGACTTTTTACATCACTTTTTCAAAACTTTTCATCCTAAAATCTAAAGTTGAGACCCTCTCTCTCTAAAACACTCTCTCTCTACATTTTTACCTAGTTCTAGTGATTTCTCTACCCATTCACCTTTGTTAAAAAGTTAGAGCATCTTGAGATCTACACTTTGATCTGAATAAAGTTGGGTTTGGACATTTTTTAAGTTCCACCCTTGCTTGGCTCATCTTCTCTCTTTGAGGTAGGGACTTTCTACACTTTGTTATGGTTTTTAACTTAGTTATTTGTGGTCGTGTAACAATGGTGGGTTTTGGAAGTATTATGGACAAACCTAGGGTTTCGGATATAAAGGCTCCTTTTGGGAATGTGGCAATAAGCCACGTTTGGGCGTTTGTTCAAAAAGTCAAACGTGGCTTTTTTGTCTTGTAACCCATTTGGGAAGCTAATAAAACGCAACATGAAAATTTACAATTATACCCTCCATTATTTGCAGGTGCTGGAGATTGAGAGCAGAAAATTTGTAATTATACAATAGGGAAAGGGGTATTTTGGTATTTTTACATTATGACATGGTGACATGACATGGTGACATGACATCGTAAACAAATATTAACAAAAAAAATATAAAAAGTCACTTTTTACTAACTTTTCAAATCACTTTTCAAAAAAGCCAAAAAGCTTGGTTAAAAGCCAAAAGCTAACTTTTAACCATCTTCCCAAAATCAAAAAAGGGGTTTTGAATAATGTGAAATAGATGTTCATGAGGTTAATTGTAAGGTCCTATTATGGCCAAATGTTTGATTTGGGCCACTTGAGTTGCTATTTGAAAAAGAGGGGAGTTTTGCCCTAAATGGTTCAAATATTTATTTTGAATAAATACATGAAATTGGTGCTGCAACATGAAATTGGATGGGTATTGATAGAAATGGTGGAATTAGATATGTGTTATTTCATACTTATGGAAATTTGAATAAGTTATCTGTCTTGAGATTGAATATCTATTTAGAAATAACTGCATTACACTATCGGTGGAGGATAATCATGATTGTTGTAGAAATTGCATGAGGATTAGGTGAATTGAAACTAATCTATTTTTGGTTGTCATTGAATATGGCTATAGTTTATATACATTGTACATGTATGATTGTTTGGGAGGAGAAATGGGATGTACTCCATTGTATGGGAGGAGATAAGAGATGGACTCCACTGAAAATAAGTTAGCCGGAGTGTCCAGGGTGAAAGTCCCGAAATCTTGTGTATACATGGGTGCCGATCCCGCGGACAAAATTTTCGTAAAATGGAAGATTTGAAGTGTTTGTGTGGTAGTGTATTGGGTTGGAAAACCAATGAGTTGTAGTCTTAGTTGGGTTATTGAAAAATGATGAAATTGACTCATGAATTGAGAATACTGAGTGAGCTTTAAATGAATTGAAATAAATTAAATTGAGATATGAACCTTGGCGTCTTTCAATTATTTAAAATGTGGAGATTTTGTCACGGGCATGGTATATACACATTGTACTTATATCTTTGTTAAATCTCATAGTTGTGTTAGATTGTTTCTACTGGGCATTGGCTCACCCTACTTTCAGAAACCATTTTCAAGTACCGATGGCATGTCTCCTCCACGAACGTAGCTTGGGAGGACTTTAGAGCAAAAGGCTCTTTTTATGTTATTTTGTATTAAATGTTCATTCAAGCCTAGGGCTTTATATGTACAGAGATTATTACTCTCTTTTGTTGTAACTAAGCATTGACTTGGAAAGATGTAAGCCCGTAGGACATTTATTTTGTTGATCATTCACTGGTATTACATGCTATAGATTTAAGATGTACATTTATGAATGTATATTGCATGTGTTATCTTTTGTAATACGAAATCTGATGAATGAAAGTATTTTATTTCTATTATTCTCCCGTTTATGAGTTGGATTTTTTATTTTTGGGGGGCTTCACACAGTGTGTTTACCACCTGAGGAATTTTGTGAAGAGATGGAACAATTTCATGCATTGCATTTTTTTTTTTTACTCACATACATATACACTTGTATACTACTTCATTCATGTATTTTCAAATGTTGCATTGCATGATCATGGGTTATTCAATTGGCTATATAACTTGTTAAATTCATCACCTATTGTGCTTATGCTCACCCCAAAGTGAACAAATTTTAGAAAATGAAGATGAAGTGCCTACCAAGAGATGCTTTTGATATGAAGGAACCTTTTTAGAACCAGGATATACTACTTTGAAAACCTTGTTGGCCTTGGGTTCTTTTGTTGTTAAAACTGTTTTGGAATTGTATATTTATGTTGAAGTTGTTGTATTATGGAACACATCTTGAAAGGAAATAGACCTGGGTTTTAATTGTTGTAGATGTTTCTCATTCTTTGAACTGTTTTGTAGTGTTATGTATGTAATAAGATGACAGTGTAATTTTTTTGGGAAAATAGTTCAAAGGGAAAAAAAAACGTAATGAATGTTATAATCAGGTTGTTATGTATGTTCTATTTTGTATGTGTTGTGGGGCGGCAATGCCCGGGAGAACAAGATTCGAGATGGTTATTTTCGGGGCGTTACAGTTTGTACTTGTTTCTTCACATTACAACCTCCAAAAAAGTCCTTGAATCTATCAAGGTACAGGACACCAACCACATTGCTTAATTAAGTTGTTATTTGTAAAAATTGGTTTCTCTGTCGAATCCTCTGTCGATTTGACCCAAACCAGATTTTTGCTAACATATTTTGGAACGCCCAATGGGACCTATCTAATTTGGAGTGATAGCAAAGAAGGAGCAAACAGATATGCATGGACATTCAAACTTTGACCAAACTAGTGGCTCATACATAAAAATCAGAAACGCTATTGTTTGAAGAACTAAACGCCATATTTAATTTCAAGTTGGCTCACAAAATGCAAACCGTTATTCATGAAAAGCCAAGGCAAGAAAATAATATGGCTCAAGGGATCAACACACCAAGTCATGAAGATAACATGACTTTGGAGAGTTTTTGTGAAACCCCATATTTTTGAGATATTAATATTTTAGTAAGAGGTATTGGTGGTAGTTTGGTGGTGAGATTCTTAGATGAGAATCTAACTTATTTTTCTCTATTTAGTTTATCTCTTTTTCTCTCCACCTCATTATTATTCATCTCCTTTGTTTTCTAATATTTTTTCATTATTCTTGGGCACCAAGTAAATTTTATTTTATTATTTTTTCATCATTTCCTTGCTTACCAAGTAATCTTTTATTTTTAATTTCTTTAATCTTCCTTTCTCCCAAAGTTACTTTGTCTCCAAGGAAGTTTCTTTTCTTGTTCTCCAAGTAAATCCATTTCTTGCCCACCAAGTAAAGTTCTTTTCTTTGGCCCCAAGTCTTTCTTTTCTTTTGTCCCAAGCATCCTTGTCTATAAATTGAGCTCACCTCTCAACTTCTTTCTATGGTTCTTTCCATATATATCTCTCTCTCTCTCCATTTGTTCTACTCCCTCTATTCCAAAATAATGGTCTCTTTTGGGGAATTCAACTTTTTTTGATAGTACAATTATTGCACTTTAAAAAAGTTAATTTTTCAAAATTATCCTTTTGATAGTACATTTTTTGGGAATATCAATGTCATAATTGTATTTTTTATATTGTTTATTAATTTAAAAGAATGACAAAATAAGAAATTTATATTATTTTTGTACTTGATTTTTGAATAGGGACTAATATTTTGGAACAATGAAAAATGGAATAAGGGACTAATATTTTGGGACGGAGGGAGTATAGATTTAGAGTTTAGATAAAGAGTGTTTAGAGTATGAGTAAGCATTTTCATATAAGGGGAGAATTGTAGATTTTGTGAAACCTTACATACCTTATGCCTTAGACTTTGGAGATCCGTGGAGAAATATCAAAATTTGAGTGTTGGCGATGGAGGAGATTGATTTGAGGTAATTCGGGAGGTATACAATATGATTCCTTTAAATCTCTTTGCAAAGAGTGTTTATTTTAATTATTTCAAATTTGTAATCCTCTTTATTATTGTGATCATTTGATAAATCCTATGAAATCATTCTGTTGACACGTTTGAGTACTTTGGTCATTTGATAAATTCTGTGAAGTTGTTCTGTGTGGTCAGTGTTTATTTGTCTAGCTAAATGATGTGGAAATGTTTCGTACATGGATCGAGTGGACCCTGCCAATAGCTTGGACCAATAGCCCGGATAAGCAGTTGTGCTTGGGTGAGGTGGATGAGGCCGGTCGCTAGTCATATACTGAGTAGGACCGGGTATTTGGTTCTGGATAAATTATCATATGTCGAGTTGGCTTGTTTGTGCAATTTGATAAATTACTTGATTAACGAATCTAATCGGTTGTGTAATTGCTGGATCTCTGTTAATTTATTTTCTGTCTGAGCCTTGTTATTCCTGTTGTATTGTATACTTCCCGAATTAATTTATTTTTCAAGTGTGGAGCAAATTTAGTGGCGATTGGAATTGAAGCATCTAAAGAGATTATTTGAGTTGGAGATTTTTTAGTCCACAACTTTATATTATTTTTGGAGATGTGTATAATTTATGTTTTGGAGACATGTGAGTTAATTATTTATGGAGACGATTTGTATATTTGAGATTATGAGTTATCTACAATTTTAAATTTGAGGTTGAATTGATTTATTAACGGCCTAGAAATTGGGACGTTACAGTTTTTACAAGCCATCAATGGCTAAAATTAAAAACACAATCCATTCTCCTGAAAGATGACACTAATCAAAGAAATCTGGAAATTAGCTAGTACACATACCAAAGAAATCTGGAAATTGCCTAATTTAACTCTCTTTGCATGGTTTACTTCTAAGACATCTAACAAACAATCACACAGAGGGTGGGAAAATTGAGTATCACAATACAAGTGTCGCATAATCTGCTGAACTAGTATTTAGTTATGTTATAAATGCAAGTACATAAACTGCTGTGAACTTGGGTTAAAATTACACACAAGTGCGGAAGAAAATTTTTTCCTCTGCTAGTGATATAATTATCTAACCTTTGGCACCCAATCCTCTGGATTTAGGAAGCTTGACTGCAACCAAAGGATTGACTATGCCTTGTGAATCCTGTCCCAGGCCCATGCCTTCCACAAACCCCATCTTGGCCATCATTTTCGATCCAAATCCCTTGGTATGATTCTCAAAATCTGCAAATCTTTGAGTTTTATCCTTTCCAAATTTCTTTGGTTTAGTCTTTGACGAGTTACTACTGGTTTCAGAGGCTTCTGCACCCAATCCCAGCGACTTAGGTCGTTGAATTGCCTTGATGGGTTGTGCAATACCTTGACCATCCTTCCCAAGCCCACCACCTTCTACGAATCCCATCTTAGCCATCATCTTCGATCCAAAACCTGTAGTGTGCAACTCGAAGGCACCATATTTTGATGAACTGCCCATGCCTTGGTTTTCTTGGCAAGTGTTTGTGTCTCTGTAGTTTGAATCAATGGTCCAGATCTCTGTGGTATCTGATTGCATGGTACCGCCAGGGACAAAAGAAACAGGCTGTGCAGCATATGAGCCCGTCTTCCCACCCCTTTTCTTCTTGCTTGGGGCAGATTGTAATATTTCTAGTGAGCTCGAACCACTTCCCTTGGCAGTCTTCTTAACTCTGTTTCTATTTCCTTTTAATTTTACACGGTTGACTGTAAAATCAGCATCCTCATCATCAGCTCCTATCAGCTGAAAATTTGTACACTTGTAGTGTGATGAAATTCAGAGAGAAAAATGCTACTTTAAACCTTCCAGACAGGACAAAGCAGTTTCAGTTAACAAAAATACCTTCTCAAGCCAAAGCTTATAGCTAGAAGATGGCATATGTGTGTGTTCAGTTCGCATCACTGTTACTATACTGAAAAAGAGCATGTCAGTCCACTTCAAAAATTTCATGCTTTGGAAGTTTGAACTAATTTGAATGTATGAACAAACAAGTCACATAATCTATGGCTTCTAGCATGAGGGGCAGGGAGAACTTGTCCAAGAGACAAACAACTTGAGCATGATGTAAATAGATAGATAGATACTTCAGACTAAAAGAATTATACAGTTGACCTCACATCCTTTATTTACCTTTTCTTTCCAGCAACTTGACAACCACTGTGCAAGCGATAAATTGCTGCTAATCTTTGCACCTAAATGCATACAAAACCAGTATCAACAGAAGAATCTTACACAGGTCTAAAGCCCACCAAAAGTAGTTTAAAATCGTACTAAATCATCAGGACTTCCATTTGTGCTGATCTAAATTTGAGAAAACAAATTTTAGGAAGCATGTACAGGAGATGTTCCTTGTATTACATCAAGTGCCTTATTTTGGAAAAATATAAAAATAAAAAATAAAATAAATCAGGAATTGGGAAATGTGCAACATTTTTAGGTGAATCAAATTGAGCAGAAAACTTCAATCAAAATGAAGATCCAGCAAGATAAAAATGTGTTTGGCGTCCTATGCTTTGTTCATGCTTTGCTCTACTAACATGTAAGAAATAAGAGAATTAAAATAAGAATGTGCATGAATTATATAAATAGTGCAACTATTATTAGCTGACAGCCAACCCCACCAACAACAAATTTGTTATTTACATTGTTTACCTCTGCAAAAACACCATAACAGACACTATCCTCACTTATAATACAGTGAAATATTAGACTTGGTTAAAATGACATGAATAAGAAAAATAAAAAAATAAACTTCATTGCATATTGTTTTTCTACTTATAGATCTAGGCCATCTAATTTTCCACAACCTACTATTTTAATAAATCAAACAATGGGCCAATGACCAACCTAATATCCCCCATATGAGCTTTTTCTCCTTTGATTTTTATTTCAGAAGTGAACTAATCCTCAAGTAAATGTAAAATCTAATAGATGGGTATTTTTTTCCTTTTTTTATGGTGCGGGGAACGTTTGATGGGCAAACAAGGAGGAGCAGAACAAATTAAATAGACCAAAAATAGCAGTAAGCAGCAAACTGCAAAGCACAAAGATAACCATACCTGGGAACAATCCCGAGAGTGCATGGGTTGAAATGAAAACAAATCTACTCCATCCAAAACCATCTGTTGTAATTTCTACAATTCAAAACCACAAAGATGTCAGGTTTTTTACCCTGTTCTTTTCCTTTTTGCTTTTTGGGAGAATTCACTGAAGCACATCATTTTGGTACTCAAATAAAATACAAAACTAAAAATGAGAGAAAAAAGGAAATCCTTTAATTAAGTAATAAGCTACTAATTTCCAAAGAGATGAAAACATTATTAAGAAATTTCAAAGAAATTAAAAAAATAATGCAGTCTAATTGAACAAGCATTGATTGTCACATCACATGACCTATGTAATGAATCTCTTCGTAGAAATAATGTTCTGCATTCTTTGAAATGCAGCTTGTGCACTCTAAATATGTTTTAAAACGTTAATATGAATACATATATGTATGTCGATATTCTACAATTGTTTTATAGTCTTTAACTGCAATTGTTACATGAATCATATCTTAATGTTTACGTTATAAAAAATATGGCTATCCAACTTTGATTCATGCTATATTACTTTCTTTTTTTTTTAATTACCTTTAAACAAACTATTCATATATTTGACATCTAACAAATTTAATATAAACTTTTAATGTGTCTCAGGCATATCTTGTCCAATATTTTTTGAAAATTTTTATGTCGGCATATACCTATGTCATGTCCATGTCTGGTTGTGTGTCCATGTCTGTGCTACTTAGCATGATATTATTACTTATTCACCATGGAGACACGTTGTTTCCACACACACCAAGTATAATAATCATAATCATTACTAAAAATCATTAAGTACTAAATATAAACTGATAGAGGCTCAATATGGCATCAAACCATCATCAAACAGTATCATTATCAACATTAGCAAAACAACAATGATGTGAACTCATCTTCCAATTGTGAAACATTATTTCTTCTTACCAAATTTATCTGCTGAAGATCAACACCATGATGAACAATTCTCTCTCTCCGTTTCAGAGCACTCTTTTCTTTGCGATATTTCTTTTTTTCACCTGAAATAGCACACTAAAGTATATGCAGTAGAGTTGAAGGCAGGGAGTTAATTCATCAGAGTGGAACATATTGATCAACCACAATAAAAGTAAGAAAAAAAAGCAGACTTCTTCAGCAATAAAATAGATTTACTATAGGATTTCAATGACACTTTACCATCGCCTGCAATTATGTCTATTTTCTCATCCTTTTATTAATCTTTTTGTTCAAAAAATTTTCACAAAAAGATGAACTTCCAAGATTCAAAACTCCTAACATATAAATTCATATTTACATGACTGAGTGTATAAACAAAATGTGAAAACGAAATTCATCTTGCTGACTCAATTACTTTGGCGGTATCATCTTGAACCATGCCTTAGTGCTTAGTATCCTGGCATTACATCTTGAAGCTGATACCTAAACAACAAAAGTCTCTTAAGAAATTGCAATAGAAAAGGTAAATCTCCTCTAATTTGTAGTATTCAATGTTTTAAAAATACAAGCAGAGTTTGCAACATATAATTATATTTCGTAGGATTCCATTTACCTTTACCAATTCGGCACTTAAACAATCACATACCAAATAAGATTATCCGTGTGATATATATGAACATCTATACCTGGGAACACTTACCCAAAACAATCTATACCTGGGAATTTCCTGAAATTTTTACTCTTTTGAGCCTGAAAAGGCCAAGACCGAGGAAGTCGAGCAACATGCTTCTTTCTACTAGAAATGGTTGTTGGATCCTTTTCAAGCATAAGATTATCCAAAACAGATGACCAAGCATATCCAGTGGTTCTAGGTCTTGAAGCCTCTGCACGGTACTTTCTTCTAGCTCGTGGCTTCATCATACCATATTCCCTTGATGTGTCCTGAAGAGCAATCTCACCCAATTTCTCCCATGCCTCATGAAATCTACCACCAGAAGTTTTATCATCATCTGATACATCGAGAGCCTGCCCTAAAAACTGCTTCATGTGTACAAATTCATCACTGCCGCCAATTCCTTCAAAGTAGTCCTCTGCAACCTCATCATCAATATCTGAATCACTATCAGATGTGTTGTCAGAGAAATCACCATCAGATGATCCTGTGGATTCCCCTGAACAAGAAGTTTCCAAGCTTCTCACATCAATCAACTCTACTCCATCATCCTCATTATCTTCCCCATCTGAAATGTCTTGGGTATACAATTTCATGCCTCCAACATACAAAAACCCTGAATTTTTCTCCGAAGATGGAGTCTGAGCCAGCAAATCATCAATCGCTTGAGTGCTTACCTCATGGGTATAACAAACATCGGCATCCATTTCCTCCTCAGAATATGATGAATCAAAACAAGAGCCTTCTTTCTCTTCCATTTGCAATGATGATCCAATACCACTTGGAGTTGCTTCTACTTCGTCACAAAACCCCAATCCACTGTGAGAGCTATCATCCAATGCAAAACTCGTACTGTAGTCATAATTAAATTCAGAATATTGGGGTTCTTTACTCGGTGCTTGGTCTACATAAGCAATAATCTGGGTGTCCTTGGAATCAACCAGAACAATTGGGTGTGACACATCCAAATTGTGTCCTGGCTTGTTACCTTCATTTGGAAATGAATCTTCCTGAAAAAAGATTAGATTATCCAATTTAATTTAGCTTCTGTAATACAAACTGCTGGTTTAATAATACAACATACCTCAAATTTTATTCAATCAACCAAAGAAAATAAAGTGAGTTCCCAGAAATTTCATAAACTTATCCAGGATGACTTCATCCAACAATCAAACATTGAATTTGACAGTATAAGGACTAAACTGGTTTGTCTATTACAAAATATACCCCCAAATGATACCTTATTACTTTTAGTTTTAGACAAGAAAAATCAATTGAAAATAATTCTTTCTTTCAAGTAAAAAGACTAAAACCCTAAGGCAGTGTTTGGTTCATGGATTGGGTAAGGATTTGGAAAAGAAAAGGAAAAAAATGGGTGAATTGTGACATTTCACACACTTTTTCTCTTTGGGTAAGAATTTGAAAAGGAAAACGAAAAAAGTGTCTGAAATCTAGCTATATTTTATTTACATTACACCTGCCTTTTTTCTTTCCCTTTTCAAATTTCTACCCAAATCCATGAGCAAAACACAGAACACAGAGACTATCCAAATAAATCGAATTGACAGTTCAAAATAACTTCTCTAATCAAAAGCATTGCTCAATTTTATCCTAACTACAACACAATCAACTTATACGCATATAGATATAAATGTTATACAGAAAGAAGAAAAATAAAATCATAACTTTTCACAATTGAAAACACTTTCTTTTCAAGTACAAGAGCTAACCATTGAACCCAAAATGAAAATCGTTTCAACTCAAAAACACCCAAATTGATCCAAATGAATCAAATACAACATTCAGAACAGCTTCTCTAACCTTACACCTAGCTCAACTCCATTGTAACCACACAAACTCAACACATATAAAAACACAAAAAAATAAAAATATAGATTTAAAATTAGCAGATACCTGATAATCAGCGACAGGGCAAGCGTAACCAAAAGCATTCCTTCTAGGTTTCTGAGATTCACTTCTGGAGCCAGAACCTTTTCGTTGATCAGATTTTCCAGATCTTGAGGCAGACTTCGTTTTGCCTTTCCGATCATTAGGGTTCCTTCCTACAAACCCAACAATCAAATCATAGAACAATCAGATAAATAGCAAATTCTCATCACTGCATAGAGAGAGAGAGAGAGAGACCTTTGCGCGTTGAAGAAGTTTGGGACCAATCGGCCAAGACACCGCCACAGACGAAGAGAGAACGACCAGCAGAGGAAGTTGGTGGTTTTCGGATCCTGGTATTGGTTTTGCGGGACCTCTTCTTGTAACCTCGTCCCGCCATAGATGACCCAGGTATACACAAGGTGGTCCTGCTGCTGCGGTTGGATTGTTTCGGTCGTTTATACTTTTTGAAGATGAGGTGACGTTTTAGGGCTCCACTTGAGAGCCACTCTTGTATGGTGCGTGGGCCTTATTTCGAAACTTTGAGATGTTTTAAGAGAATGTATTTTTTGACTTATTGATTTATATGGGTTGGGTTTGGGTTGGATTTGATGTGATGTGTTAGAGAGGTGATGTGATTTAAATAAGATGATGTGACTTAAATAAGATAGTAATTTTTTGACTTTTTGTATTATTTAGGTCATGCCAAACTTGGCCTTATTTTTGATCATCAAAATGGTCTATTTTTAAAATCAAAAATGCTTTAGAGCTCTAATATAGGAGTCTAATGGAAAGGTGGGTCTCATCCTGATGTGATGTTTGTGCCTTGTTTTTTTTTTTTTTTTGTATACACAAGGTGGTCCTGCTGCTGCGGTTGGATTGTTTCGGTCGTTTATACTTTTTGAAGATGAGGTGACGTTTTAGGGCTCCACTTGAAAGCCACTCTTGTAGGTGCGTGGGCCTTATTTCGAAACTTATTCTTGATCATCAAAATGGTCTATTTTTAAAATAGATGGAGTATAATATATTTGTAACAAATTAAATTATTAATAGCCTTGTTTGAAATATTAATTATTTTATTTTTTAGTTATTTAATATGTTAAAATATTTATCTTTGAAAAGAGAGTTGGATTTTTTTTAATTGGATGTAATATTTGTGAGAAAAAAAATAAAATTATTATAGATTTGATGTGATATTTTGTTTTATTAAAGCATCCGCATCAAACTCTATAATAGCTTTGAAGCTATTGTAGAGAATATCAGCATCAAATTTGTTTTCCATCGGTCTTAACAATTTTTTTCTAGATTAAGCTTTTGTTAAATTTACTATAGTACCTCAACAACTTTGTTAAGCCACTGTTCATCAGCTACATGATTTTTTATTAAATTTTTTTGAGTAAAATTAGGCTAAAATCTTTAAATCGGTCGTCCACAAGGATATCCTCTTAGATATCCTATTAGATGTCCCGTGAGTGCCTGTAGTAGAAGAAGAAAAAAATGTCCAAAATTAGCCTAACCAGTCGACCGGCTGGTCAACGGCAATTTTTTTTTTTTTTTTTTAAAAAAAAAAAATTGTTTGGGTGGCATCTCATCAATTTAATAAAAAAATAAAGAATAACAAATACAATAAGAAATTAATATTTTAATAAGGTTGAGTTAGAATAGAGAGTTTGATGCAATGAATACTAAAAAGGTGACTAACAAAAATAACAAAAGTAGATTTTGGGTTATAATTTGACTCAAAATTTGTTGAGACTGATATGGATGCTCTTAATTATTTTAACCTATTTTATCTTTTTCTAAATTTTAGTTCAAAAAACTTAAAAAATCTTTTGCCAAACACCCCCAATAACACTCTTCACTAAAGTGTATATTTATTTAATTTTATAATTCAAATCACATTTACTAAATTTTAAGAGATGGGATGTGATTCACAAGGGACAATACGTATTTTAATTGAAGTTAGGAGATGTGTTTGTAATTTACTCCAAAATCTATGTACACTTGAGCCCAAGGTCTTTACGAGTCAGGTCGGGTTCACCCTTAAATTAGAAATTGAACCAACACTATCAGATTTGAAATTCATTCACCCATTTTCAACTGACCTATAGTTTGAAATTGACCAACTCAAACCATTTGATTTCTTAGTTGGTTCAGTTGATTTTGAACGATGTAAGGGGTTCAAAATAATATAACTTAAAGAGGCAAAATGATGTAAAGGTAGTTAATTTGAGGGCTAGAGAATGAGTAGTCAGGTAAGAGTAGGGCAAGCGGTTTAGGAAGAAAGGAACATGGTAATGAAAATGGACAACATCTCCTACAATTCCCAAAATTCTTTTTTCAAACCTTGAGAAATGGGCCCTATTTATATACTTTTTCTTGGTACTGAATATACCAAGTAGTCGAATAGAGTGACGGTGTGTGTCTCTGGGATCACATAGAATATTCATTGTCTTAATTGCAGGGCCGTGGTGGACATGTGTCTCCCTCGATATGTGTCCTTTTTGGTATGTACCGTAGTGGTACCTTGTGTGATACTACATGCGATACTACTTTACTTAGTATAATTTGCCAACATACCTTACTCAAGAGTTGTAGTCTACATTAAGCCATACTAGTTTCCACTTCAGCAACTCCCTTACTCTTAATCACCAAACCACAAACTCCCCAGCTTCATAGTTGTGGGTCATAGCAAAGCCTTAAATCAACCGATATGTGCCTCATACAAAGCCTCTAAGGGCTTTCTTGGTCCTACCATTGTGACCGAGGAAGGTTCTTAGCCTGGGTAAATGGAAAGGAAGTTTCTTACTTTCAGGCTTCTTTCCATCCATTTTCACAGGAGACATGATTCTAACTTGTCACGATATATTGGTACCTATGGAGCTTGCTATCAACTTCAACTAGTAAACTTTTGGGCCTGCTATTAGCTCCAAGCTAGTGATCTCTGTTTGCACAAAGAAGAGGCCTTCCTCCAAGGCTACAATCACCTTGGGGAGTCCTGTCTTAGATAGTAGTGCCTAAGGTTGCAATCACCTCAAATAGTCTTACCTTAGAGAGAACACCTCAAGTACTTATGCCTTGGAGGCGATAGCAATGGTCCTTCTTTGGAAACAATGCCTCAGCGAGTCACCTCAAGTAATGGGGTCACAGTAAGTCCTACCTTAGGTAATTACCTCGAGTACTTATACCACGGACAGTCCTTTCGGATCTAGTAAGTTTTTATCCAAATTCCTTTAATCGTAATTATTTCCTTAATTAAGAAAAATTTCGTAATTAAGTCAACATTAGGATTTCTGCCCCTCTACAAACAGTTAAAAAAAAACGACAAAAACGAATTCAAATTTCAAAACAAACAATCTCAAACTCATACATATATGTTATACGGAGAGCCTCTAGAAAATTTAACCACACCAATATAGTTTATGGTTTCAAATATGAAGCAAAAGAACAATACAAATCCACAAGAAAGAAACAACTACAAGCTAATAAGACTCCAAGATTTATGTGGTTTGGCTAAGCCTACGTCCACAGACAATCACAAAGAAAAGGATTCCACTAGCAAAGAGAACAATACTCCGAAGAGCTGCAATAGTGACAAAACAATCTCTCACAAATAGCTCACCAAGCCCAAAATAGAAGTTCTCTAATCAAACCTAAATCCTCTCTACACAAGTCTCACGAAATTAAAGTTTCAGCCAAGAAATACCATGTGACCAAAGGCCACACCAATGACCCCGAAGGCCTACCAACAAAACACCTTATGGGGGCTCAAAGGAACTAAAAGTTCAATTGAACTAAAGAGAATTTTCACCTATTTATAGTCAAAGAACAAGTTTCCTTCCAGTCCAATCCAAAAACAATTAGGAAACATTAAATCTAAAACTTTAGGAAGTCTAAACCAAGACAAATAGGTCTCTCACAAATCCAAACCAACATGGGAGTCAAAACCAAGTCAATGTTTGACTATCCACAAATCCTATTCCAATTAGGAAGTAGAATACCAAATCCAAATCGTATTAGGAATGGACATTGAGCCAATAATCCAACAAATCTTCACCTTAGTGACATGTCCAGTTACAACTTGCCAACCAACCAATAAATCCACCACCTTGGTGATATTTTCAACTACTGCACCGAAACGAATGATGAACAAGAACGAACAAAACTCAACCTAGATGAGATACCCAATAATCAAAATCAAACTGAACAAATTTTGCTATACCGAACCAAAAATATGAGCGCTCAAATTGAAATCAAGCCAAGCAAAATGAAATAGGAGAATCACATAAGTGCTTAAGACACATTGAGCCATCTAAACTAATTCTAGAATAAAATGAACTAGCTCTTCTAAATTTTCTGCAATCCCAAACTAAATTCCACCATGGTACTAGGTTCCGAATTTAAAACCAAATGCATCAAACAAAACAAGTTGTCTTCAACAATTCCAAACAAACCATGGTGAGCAAACAAACTAACCACTTGAACAAATATGAGGAGAACAATTCAAAATCAATAGAACCTTCAAATTCTCCATCCAAGCAACTCCAAAAGTGGTACCAAGTTTGCTCTAAATAAGCTCAAACCAAACATGAGAGCCAAACAAATTCTGAGAGAGCTAAAATAAGCTCTCATCGAAACTAAGCAAACAAACTGCTAAAGCAAACAAGCTCTAACCAGAATCTAAAATTTTGGAACGAACTCTAAACAATAATAAAAGAGCCACATTTTGTAAAGTATCGAGCAAATATCAGAACCAAACCAAATTCGGAAAATTCACCAGCAATCTCAAATGACTCAACTGAGTCTCCATACAATCTATCTTCACCAAATTAAAGACATATGCAAACAAATTTGATTTCCAAATGACATATCTAAAAACGATGAGAAAAACTATAAGCAATAAATCCAAAACTTACCTCCCAAACTGATGAGATTTGCAATCAGTATCTTCAAGTTTCTCCTCCAAAGTAAAATTGCTATAAGATTTCTCTTCGCCAATCTTCTCCCCAATTTTCAAGAACCACTAACAATACAAACTTCAATGGAAGCAAACAAGCAAAGCCTAGATCGTTACCCAAGCTCTGATGCCAATTTGTTGTGCGGGGAGCCTCTAGAAAACTCAACCACACCAAGATAGTTGATGGCTTCGATGAGAGAAACAACCACAAACTAACAAGACACCAAGACACCAAGCTTATGTCCACAGACAATCACAAAGAGAAGGGTTCCACTAGCAAAGAGAACATGCTCAGAAGAGCTACAATGGTGGCAAACAATGTCTCACAAATAGCTCACCAAGCCCAAAATACAAGTTTTCTCACCAAACCTAATTCCTCTCTACATAAGTCTCATGAAACTAAAGTTTCAACCAAGAGATACCAAGTGACCAAAGACCACACCAAAAACCTGAAGGCCTACCAACAAAACTGTAATGCCTCGAAATAATTACTCCCTCCATCCCGAAATAATTACTCC